ACATAAACAATAAAATGAAACATAGAAATTTTGCAATTATTTAGTCAAAAAAAAAATTATTATGTTGTGAAATGGTTTTAAGACAAAAGCCCATTAAAATTTACAACTAGTATCGTTTAGGTGTTATATGTAATGTCTAATTTCCAGTTGAAGTAATCCAGAATTTTGATATTAGACGTCGTCATTCTTCCTATTTTGCATGCTCAGTAGAATAAATTTAAATTCAACGTTATTAGCATTTCGAGGAATATTATAAAATCCATCTTATACAAAAGAAATTAACATTTCCTGTTTGGATTTGTGCCATTTTATTCAGCTATCCATGCATAATATTTAGAAAACCTTCGTTATCAAAATCCTGAATTATATGTACTTTTTAAATTGCTAAACAAAATATTAATAAATAGCACACGAAATCTTTTGAAATTGTTAAAATATATCAACTATTTGTCAAAGAAATAAACAAAGTAACCAAAACGTAATAAAAAATAACTGTACCGTCTTTTATATTTTTTGCAAGAAATATATTATTTTTACAATCAAATTAATTGAGTTTCATTAAAAGACTAAAACAAGATGTTGTCCGATATAAATAAGAAAGAAGTTAATTAAATTATTCAAATAAGCCTTCTTTATTTACTACATGTGAAACAGAACTGATGCGAAAAGAATTCAACAAAATTAAAACCAACCACTAATTAGCATGCACAAAACCCATTTTACACACAATGAAGTAACATTTTATGTTTAGAAACATGATTTTTAACGCCTTCTATTAAACCTTCCACTCATATGCCTTCCGGATATCTTATTTAAATCAGTTAACAAAAGGTAAAATAAATATCCACCTTTCCTTAAAAGAATCAACGAAAAATATCACCAAGTGAAATCAAACTGACTGTGTCTGTATGCTTTGTGTGGTAAAGGAACAAAGGCTTATTTAACATCTTGCAAGACATACTGTAGGCCGTATAAATACACTCTATCGCACACATAAAACAGAAAAAAACGCCACCAAATAGATATATATAAAGAATACGACAGGAGCGAGGCGGTTGCTTAGCAACGAAAATGCCAACCCATTCCGTGCCTAAGTATGGAGAAGGTCAAACCAAGAAAATTCCTACTAACAAGATTTGCTTACTACGAAGCGAGCTTTTAAAATACCTTTCGCCAGTAATTTTTATTTTTACTCTCTTTTCGAACCCTTTGTTTCTTCCTCTTTAAGAATCCAGCTTATGTAAAGGGCTTTCTGGCGAAATGTTGCTCAAATTTAAATATATACCAGGCCGTAGGATTAAGGGCAGGTGATGTTATTAATAAAATTCGTCGACTGATAAAAATTCGATTTGATATCTTCTATTTTTCCGTTATTTGTCAACAGTCGTCTCTGAGGAACAATGAATTTGTCTCGAAGGTGTTTTTGTGTAAAATAAAATGGCACATCTCGATTGAAAGAGAATGCTTGATAAAAGGATCTTCCGTCTTAAAGATGGATTGGATATTTAAATAACCAAGGTGCAGCGAAACTAAACATAACCATTTATTTTATTTATTTATTATTTTATCAAATTTTATCAGTCGAATAAATTTTATTCTTTTTGATATCCTAGGTGCTTGAAAGAAGCATAAGAAGAAAACATTTGAAGAATACGATTATTTGTTGCGTAATTTTACGAATGAATTACAAATTTTAGTTTATTATACTTTAAAGAATAATATTACTTCATATGAAATTTAAAATTAATTAAGGATAAAAAATATTTTTTATTACCTATCAATTTAAAAAATATTAATCCTAAACCTGAACTAGAGTCAATCGGACAAGTTTCAGTAATTGGTTTGAAAAAGAAAAGAGTGTATTGTGTTGGTTATGGCAGACATTCTGACATTGACAGGTGGATTTCCTTGTTGTTGGTGATTTTTTTTTTCAATTTAGACTTATTTATAGTTAATCATATTTTTGTTAAATTTGACACGTATGATTACTGAGATTTTTTCAGACGAAATTATTTGTACTATTTTATATTACTAAACAAAATAATGAATAGCTGCTACACAAACTTTTTTAAAATTTTAAAATTATTTCAACTTTTTGCCAAAGAAATAAACAAAGTGGTCGAAACGTAACAAAAAATATTGTACTGTCTTATATATTTGTTGCAAGAAATATCATATTTTACCAATCGAATTATTGAGCTTGATAGAAAGGCTAAAACAAACTCTAAATAAGAAAGAAGTTAATTAAATTATTCAAATAAACCTTCTTTATTTACTACATGTGAAACAGAACTGATGTGAAAAGAATTCAACAAAATTAAAACCAACCACTAATTAGCAAGAACAAAACCTATTTTACACAAAATGAATTAACATTTTATCTTTAGAAACACGAGTTTTAACTCTTTCTATTAAACCTTCCACGCATATGCCTTCCGGATATTTCATTTAAATCAGTTAACAAAAGGTAAAATAAATATCCATCTTTCCCTAAAAGAATCAACGAAAAATATCACCAAGTGAAATCAAACCATCTGTATCTGTACGCTTTGTGTGCTAAAGGAACAAAGGCTTATTTAACATCTTGGAAGACAAACTGGAGACCGTATAAATATACTCTATCGCACACATAAAACCGAAAAAAACGCCACCAAATAAATATATATATATAGAATACAACAGGAGCGAGGCGGTTGCTTAGCAACGGAAATGCCAACCCATTTCGTGCCTAAGTATGGAGAAGGTCAAACTAAGAAAATTCGTGCTAACAAGATTTGCTTATGCGAAGCGAGCCTTTAAAATACCTTTCGCCAGTAATTTTTATTCTTACTCTTTCCTAACCCTTTGTTTCTTCCTCTTTTAAGAATCCAGCTTATGTGAAGAGCTAGTTGCTGAAATTTTAAATATTTACCAGGCCGTGGGATTAAGGGCAGGTGCTGTTATTAACAAAATTCGTCGACTGATAAAAATTCAATTTGATATCTTCTATTTTTCCGTTATTTGTCAACATCTCTCTCTGAGGAACAATGAATTTGACTAGAACTGGTTTTTTCTTGTGTAAAATGAAATGTCACCTCTTGATTGAAAGTGAATGTTGTATAAAAGGATCTCGGGATTAAAGATGAATTGGATATTTAAAAGAAACAAGGTGTAGTGAAAATAAACATTCAATTTTTTTTTTATTAATTCTGTTCAGCTGAATAAGGTTTATTTTTTATTTATTTTTTTTTTTTTATATCCTTAGGTGCTTGAAAAAAAATCGTTGGATTATTACGGTTTTTTTCACATTTTGCAAGCATATAATATATATTATGCTCTCGTTACATATTTTGCTTATATAAGTATTATATCTATTATGCTCACCTTTCACCTTTTGTCTATTCATATTATTTATATTACGCGCTCATTTTTCACACTTCGCCTATATATAATATATATTACTATTACGTTTCACATTTTGAGTATATATAATATATATATTACACTCATGTTTCACATTTTGCTTATATATAATATATATTGCGGTCTTGCTCACATTTTGCACATATATAATATTACAGAAAATTAATAAACATTTTATTTTCAAAAACCTGACTTTTAACTCTTTCTATTCAGCCTTCCACGCTTATGCCTTCCGGATATTTCATTTAAATCAGTTAACAAAAGGTAAAATAAATATCCACCATTTCTTAAAAGAATCAACGAAAAATATTCACCAAGAAAAATCAAGCCGTCTGTATCCGTACGCCTTGTGTGGTAAAGGAACAAAGGCTTATTTAAAATCTTGCTAGACAAACTGGAGACCGTATACATATACTCCATTGCACACATAAAAAAAGAAAAAAAACGCCACCAAATAAATAAATATATATATAGAATACAACAGCAGCGAGGCGGTTGCCTAGCAACGAGAATGACAACCCATTTCGTGCCTAAGTATGGAGAAGGTCAAACCAAGAAAATTCCTACTAACAAGATTTGCTTACTACGAAGCGAGCCTTTAAAATACCTCTCGCCAGTAATTTTTATTTTTCACTCTCTTTTCTAACCCTTTGTTTCTTCCTCTTTTAAGAATCCAGCTTATGTGAAGAGCTTTCTGGCTAAGAAATGTGGCACAAATTTTAAATATTTACCAGGCCCTAGGATTAAGGGCAGGAGCTGTTATTAATAAAATTCGTCGACTGATAAAAATTCGATTTGATATCTTCTATTTTCCCGTTATTTGTCAACGGCCCTCTCTGAGGGACAATGAGTTTGTCTCGTAGGAGTTTTTTGTGTAATATAAATAAATGCCAATAAAATGTCACATCTCGATTGAAAGTGAACGTTCGATAAAAGGATCTCAGGGCTTAAAGAGGAATTGAATATTTAAATAGGCAAGGATAGTGAAAATAAGCATAGCCATGTTTTTTATTTTATCAGTTGATTAAGCTTTATTCTTTTTGATATTCTTTGGTGCTTGAAAAAATTGTAGGAACAAATCACTTGAAGAATATGATTATTTGCTGTGTAGTTTTATGAATATAAGTATTGCAAATTTTAGTTTATTGCATTTGAAAGAATAATATTACTACATTTTAGATGTTTCTCACATATAATAATATAATATATATTAAATACTCATTTTTCTAATATATATTACTATTACCTTTCGTATTTTGCCTATATATTTATATTATACACATTTTGACTATGACTATTTTTATGTTGTTTGTTGTTTTGTTGTTTCTTATCCCACTTGGCTGGCCAAACCCACGAGCCGACACGTACTCATGATTGAAGGGGAAGGAAGCAGCTTCTGTTGTGATGGAGCGCCCGTAGGTAGAAGCCTGAATTTTGCTCCGTGACGTTCTTACAGTCATAGAAGACCGGGACCTACGGCTTAAAGTGGATCCCGAACCACTACAAACATCCATGGCACCGCCGGGATTCGAACCCGAAACCTGTGGCACCGAGCGCCAGAGCGCTAGATACTCGGCCATTCAGGTCCCAAATTTGCCAACGGCACGCAGTGTTCCCAGGTGGTCACCCACCCAAGTACTGACCGCGCCCAATGATGCTTAACTTCGGTGATCTAACGAGAACCGGTATATTCAGCATGGTACGGGCGTTGGCCAAAAAAGAGCACTGCATCGGCCGGGAATCGAACCCGCGCCGCCCGCGTGGCAGGCGAGCATTCTACCACTGAACCACCGATGCTACTATTTTTATAAAATATATATATATATTACTCTCACATTTCACATGTTGCTTATATATAATATACATTACCCGCTTTTTCCACAATTTACACATATGTAATATTGCACAAGATGAATTAACATTTTATCTTTAGAAACGTGACTTTTAACTATTTTTATTAATCCTTAAATTCAAATGTCTTCCAGATATTTCATTTAAATCAGGTAAAACAAAAATATATAAAATCAGATATTTTTTTTACCTTCTTAACAAAAGCTATAATAGATATCCACCTTTTCTTAACAGAATGAACGAAAAATACCATCAACACTATTTGTAAGCCGTCAAATATCTATCTTTTCTTAAAAGAATGAACGAAAAATACCACCAACAATACTTTGTACGCTTACGAAATCAAGCCATCTGTATTTGTACGCTTTGTGCAGTAAAGGAACAAAGGCTTATTTATCATCTTACAAGACAAACTGGAGACCGTATAAATATACTCTGTCGCACACATAAAAAAAGAAAGAAAACGCCACCAAATAAATAAATATATATATAGAATACAACAGCAGCGAGGCGGTTGCCTAGCAACGAGAATGCCAACCCATTTCGTGCCTAAGTATGGAGAAGGTCAAACCAAGAAAATTCCTACTAACAAGATTTGCTTACTACGGAGCGAGCCTTTAAAACACCTCTCGCCAGTAATTTTTATTTTTACTCTTCTTTCCTAACCCTTTGTTTCTTCCTCTTTTAAGAATCCAGCTCATGTGAAGAGCTACGAAATGCTGCTCAAATTTTAAATATTTACCAGGATGTAGGATTAAGGGCAGGTGCTGTTATTAATAAAATTCGTCGACTGATAAAATTCGATTTGATATCTTCTATTTTTCCTTTATTTGTCAACAGTTCTCTCTGAGGAACAATGAATTTGTCTCGAAGTGTTTTTTATTTTTGTAAAATAAAATATCACATTGCGATTGAAAGTGAATGGTGGATAAAAGGATCTCGAGCTTAGAGATGGATTGGATATTTAAATAACCAAGGTGCAGTGAAAATAAACCTAACCATATTTTTATTTATTTTTTTATTTATCAATTTTTATCTTCTGAATAAGCTATATTCTTTTTGACATCGTTAAGTGCTTCAAAAAATCGTTGGAATAAAACACTTGAACGCTTAATTTTTCATATTATGCCTAAACATATTATATATTACGCTCACGTTTATATATTATGCCTAAATATAATAAATATTACACTCACGTTTATATATTATGCCTAAACATAATATATATTACGTTCACGTTTATATATTAGGCCTATATGTTTTATAAACTGTATAAATATTGTTCGAATTTGTTCCTTTCTGACATTTACAGTGGAACTATGTTACATTAGGCATATAATTTGGATGCTAGAATCCCTCTCATTTCGTTCAAAACTGTTAGCGAGCATCATGTTGAAAGTGAATGTTAAAAACGTATTGGAAAGAAATATTAATTATTCTAACATACAATTTAATTTTTTACGTTAACCACAAATTATTGTGTGATAAATTGAATGGGGTTACATTTGGTCTTTTTAGTTAACCATATAAACAATAGATTGTTATAGAATCAAAATACATAGCATGAAATGAAAGATTAAATATATGTATGTATTTAGTGAGTATATAGGGAGTAATATTAGACATTTATGTATATAATAATTTATAATTACAATTTTATTTATAATTTTAATATTTATGCATATATAATATAGACATTTATATATGTAGGAGCAAACAATGGCCTATATATGATTTTAAGCGCTTAGAAATTGCAAACTTTGCATTGTTGCGGATCTCATACTCTTGTAATTATTTACTGCTGAAAGAATTTAACATACTTTATTTTATAAAAAGTTCAATATATTCATAATTTTTAACATCAGTTAATTTATTCATAATTTCTTAACAGTTCATATATTCATAAATTTTGACATTGGTTTTAATGACTTCACGTGTTTATTTCACAAAATAATAAATAATTTATCATTATTTGATTTAACATAATTATATTACGTCAAATATAATTGCAATTAGGTACTAAACTATTACTTATATTGATACATGCAGGAAAAAATAAATAAATAATTGAATATTACCTATATTTTTGACTTGACATTGATCCTACATTTCATAATTTTAATAAATATTTCAATATATTAAATTATTGATCTACAAAAATACTTAAAATGAGATTACATGTTTCATTAATAATGATGTCCATCCATTAAAAATATTGCTGAGGTCGATTTAAATAATGCCCAGACATAAAGCAAAATATCTCTGTATCATCAATATGAGCCTGTCATAGGATTCAGGAAATACCAATTAGGGGCATAATTAATGACTTCCTGTTTGAAGCCATAATTTCTTAATTGACACGGAGGGTTTGTATGGGTTCACGGCGGAGGCTGGATTGCTGATGTCCTAAGCAGTGAGAGATGCGAATAGTCATTGCTTTAGTATGAGTATAATAAAATACACATGTAGTTGATAAGTTTAAGGCGTAATACTAGTGATTTGTAAACTAGAACAATTCTTTTTAAATTTCACATGAATTAATTTAGGTTCCTCTGTGAATTTGATTAGGAGATTGACTGTGACGAGATATGAATAGTATTTTCTCAGTATGAGTATATTGATATAATTGATAAGCTTAAGACATACTGGTATTGATTTAGAAAATATAACACTTTTTTTGTATTACATATCAATGAGTTACGCTTTGTCGATGTTATTATATCGTCATCAAAGTTATGTAGGAGGTTGATGGATAGTGATTCGTTTCAGCTAACGTTTTTGGTAGTGAGAGATGGGAATAGCTACTATCTTAGTATGAATATAATACGATATATATATATATATAATTTATAAGCTGAAGACAACATACTGATTGATGAGTTGAAAACTATAACACATATTTTTTATTTCATATAAATGAATTCTGCTTTGTCGGAGAATTTTAACATCCTCAATGGTATATTGGAGGTTGGCCTTGGATGATTTGTTTCAGCTAACGTTTTAGGTAGTGAGAGATGTGAAGAGCCTCTATCTTAGCATGGATATAATAAGGTATGCATGTCGTTGATACTTTTAAGGCAACATACTCATCGATGAATTGAAAACTATAAAACATTTTTTTTTATTTCACATAAATGAATGATATTATCAATTTAAAATTCCATGACTTCAGATGCTTGAAAAACATGTTATGAAATCATGTAGGAAATTCTACGAACAAAAAATATATCTTGAATCGCGAAATTCATTGATTTTTTTGTCGTTACATTCTAATTTAATGAATAATGTTTATGTTTATTTCTTCCAATTTGTTTACATAGTTTCCAGTAAATCTCAGACAAATTCGTAATTGACATATTTGTTAAAAGTAAACGATAGAGTTTGTATATTTTCCAGCAATCTGAAGCTATTAGATATTTTAAAAATAGTTATCGAAGCATTCATGTTTCTATTTGTCCCCCCCATAGATTAGAGTTGCTTGTCGACCACATTACAAAGAACCATATTATCATATTATACATTATTGGTCACTTGTGCTGCAGAGATTTAGAAATAAATATTTCAAGCAGTCATATTTAAAGCGTTTTCATCTTAATTCCTACTCAAACTCGAGATCTTGTTTCCTCTACACATTTAATGTACTAATCCCAGGTGTAAATGCAGAATTTTCAGATTCAATTCTCTTCGTAAGCTTTAAGCTGTTTCTGAAACGCGTGTAGTATTTTGGATGAAAACAAAAAATAATTAATAACATTATTTTAAATAATAAATAAATAATAATTGAATATTTTAATTAAAGTTAATTGGACTGAAGTTCAAATAACAAAAAAAGCAAAATTACAAAAAACAATAATGCTTATTCAATTTCGATTATTAATGTTAGGCGAATTTATCATAATAAAAAAGTAATTAATTAGATGTCGCATTTTCTTTAACTTTATCTAGTGTAATTCAATAACATGTTTGTTTTTCCAATAACAACAATTAATTCTGATTTAAATTTCTTTCAATACAAAAACTAGGTTTTTTTTTTTTTTATAAATTCCTCTTATATCATCCAATTTAATAGATTAGCTTGTTTTTAAATTCATTTGAAAAATATTACTTAGTTTTTGCCTAAAAAAAATAAGATTATTCATTAAAATAATAAATCATTAAAAATGTACAATAAACATTTTAAAAGATTTTTATATCAAACTAGTAAACAAATTCCTGAAAAATAAGATTATTCATTAAAATAATAAATCACTTGATAAATATTAAAAAATACACAATAAAAATTCCAATTTTTTATATCGAACTAATAAACAAAACGAACTAGCATTCTTAGAATACATTTTATTTAATGATAAAGTAAAAAAACATATTAGATAAAAAGATTAGCAATATGAATTCTTAGATATCGCTTATTTTTAATCTGGGAAAGAAAAATATCGATTTTTTGTTGAGAAATAAAACAGTCCGCAAGATGGTAAAGGGTAATTCGAGATTGAATACTTCCAAGATGCTGAAGCCATGTTTCTTTTACTTTAAGTGGCATGTATAAGTTAGTTATTTTATCGATCTTTGTTTTTAGGATAAAAAGTTTGCTCTGATCTCCCTCGATTAAAAAATAGCGCCCAGATTATTTTTAAGTCCTTTCTCCAACAGATGGAATCTTAAGATCTTTTGTATGTCAGATCTTGTGAGGGTAGATTGCTTTTTAAATCTCTTGTAAATCCTTGCTTCTAAGACTTCTTATTCCCTCTACATAAGCTTCTTCGAAGTTAACTTTTTTTATGAGTGTGATTGATGGATATGCAGAGTTTTAAGTGTGTGGCTTTTCTGTTGTTTTTAAATTGAGTTTTTCGCAGATTTA